ATGGAGATCCTGTGGCTGACTTTCATATCATGGACTGGGCAGTATTTCCCAACAAGTCTGTGGCTGGGGTGAAAATTGGGAACATTGAAAAAGAAATCTCTTCAGATATCAAGTTCTCTATAGATGAGAGTGCCATCATATGGCCAACATCCTTTAACCAGGTTACTAAGTCTGCTTGTTTGTGGATTTTATTATTTAGCTATTCCTATGTGGTTCATCTGACCTTATGGTTCTCTTGTCACTCTGATGGAGGGTTTGTGCTGGTTGAAGGAGACATTACTATTTCTGTGGAGTCCTTGGGGTTCTCTGAGCTTGCTTGTTTCCCTGCAAACATTTTGTTATCTAGCTAGGTAACATCTTCAGTGCTAGAAGGGAGTGGGGTTTGCTCTGTGTTTATATACAGTGGCTGGCCCTGCAAGTGTTGGTGGAGATGTGGGCTTTGTTTTTATAGTATTTTTTCCTCTGGTAGTTCCTTGATTAGGGTATTGTTTACTGCTTGATTGTATGTGGTAATCTTGGTGTTAATCTCTGCTTATCTGGGTGATGATTGCTGGGGAGGAGATGTTCTGGCCATTTCTTTTCTTTTCTATTGTCTCTTTTGAATAATGTGTAGGTTGTAAGGTTTACCCCATTTGACTCAGAGAAACTCTCGTGATATGTGTATTCAGCAAAGAAGTTTACTCAAGCGTAACGTACGTAATTACAGACAAAAGCAGGACTGGGTTTGCACATTTTACAATACAATTTATAGTTCCCCGTCCCCGTGCTAGCCCCTGTTGCTTGGTTACAGATTACCCTCAGTAATCCCCCCCTTTACTCAAATGGCAGATTCAGTCCAGCTCTTTTGTGTTCTTGATTGCTTTCTATCGATGGCATTGTTGTTGTATTCGTTGGGTCTTTCTGTTGCTTGCAAAGTTGGGAGTTCCCAATCACGTGCTGATTGCTTTACTTCTAATCCGATGCTCTCCCCTTTGCCTACAGCGCCTGAGGCAATTTGTCATTGACACAAAGTATCCGCTTGCGGTTTAGTTAAGCGGCGCCAGCTGGCCCATTAATCAGTTCGCGGTTTCTCATTTCCCCTTTCCTTGCTAGCTCTAGAGTGGTGAAACTTACTAAGCGCGGCTGGGCAAGTTCCTAGCTGTGCCGCGTCAGCTGAATCTAACATAGGTGTTGTTTATCTCTATCTGCCTGTTAATGGCTGCCTTGTCTGAATACCACGCTTCCAGGAATTCCCTCACATTTTTGGATTTAGCTCGCTCTAAGTTGCTGACACTTTCCCAGTTGAAACTATGATTAACAGGCACATGAAACATTTGCCAGAAAACAATCAAGCTCAGAGAACCCCAAGGACTCCACAGTTCAACCCTGAGCTACATATATTCTCTTCTATTGGTACTACTATTTCTCCTGGACCTCTCAAAAGACCTACTTGTGACTGTGGGAATGCCAGCATTGTTCTTGGGTAAGGTGGAAATCATGTTGTCGGCTGGCCAGTGCTGCTTGCTGTCTGCAAGCAGGCCCGCAAAGACCTTTGACAATGAAGGACTTACTGCAAGTCGTCTTACTCAGTGCTTGCTCAGAACTAGAGTCTGGGCTGATAGGAAAGTGAGATCCAAAAGATACATGTTGGAAGATGGCAGAGACCTGAGGACATGTTATGGTAGATGGTGTTCTAGCAATTGCTAAGATAGGAGCAAGCAATCTTCTGCTTGCCATGCTTTGGACTAGACT